CAATGAGAATTTGGAACTATGATGAACTTATGGGTGCTTACAAAGCAAATGGATTAAACCCAGACCCATATTATTGGTATACTCAACAAAGAAAGTATGGTTCTTGCCCACATGGAGGTTATGGTCTTGGAGTTGAACGTTTAGTTATGTGGTTACTTGGAGAAGACCATATTAGAAAGGTCTGTTTGTACCCAAGATATCTTGAGAGATGTGAGCCATAATTATTTGATTTTTTTGGTTGATTCTTTGTTATTTTTACAATAAGTTTTAATTGAAAAAATAAGAATTAGTTTAAATAGAAATTCAGTATAAAATTTAAAAATTACTTTATTTGTTTAAAAAAATAGTTAAAGTCATTTTAACAGAAGATTGTTTTATAGTAAATTAATAAAATGAACATTATATCGAATAAAATAGAGTTAATATTTCATATTTCTTTGTATGTTTTCTCACTTTTTAATTACTGGTGATTTAATTTTCATAAACTTATTTAATTGGTTGAGAAGAATGAGTAAACCGTAACATTTTTTATTTACTAAATTTAAAAATGTATTTCTGAATTGAAGAATATAAATATGAAATAATAAATTCTATTCTTTATTTAAGATTATACATACAATACAAAGAAATATGATATTTAAAAGAATTACAGATTAATTCTTGAATTTCTTTATTTTATCTTTCAATTTATATCTGATTTTCTTCTTCTACTTCAATTTCTTCTTTTATTCTCCATTTTAAATATATATTTCTACTTGTTCTTCTTCTTACTTATTTAATTTCTTTTTTTTTTTACTATTCTGTTAATTTCTTCATCTCTTTTTGCCTTTTTTTTGTTTTTTTTGTAATATCTTTTATTCTTATATATTTTCCCTTTGTCTTGGTTATTCTCATAACAATGTTGGTTAACCCTTCTACCTGTATTATGGTATTTGCACTTATACTAATTACTTTTATTTTAATTATACGTGTGTTGAAATGAGAATTGGATATAGTAAATTTAAATATAATAAAATGTAATAAAGTGATTATGAATATTGTTTTGTTGATAATGACTATAGTAATGTTAATGGTAATGTTATCTAAATCAATTTGTTGGTATATAATTAGTTCTATGTGATTTTTATTACATTTTTTGTGATGTAGAAATAAACTTATATTTATTTCAAATATTAAAAAGAGAAGAAACTTTATAAAAGGATAAATGATAAAGGTGTGGTTGAATTAAACTAAACTCTTATTAAAGATGCAGAATAATCAATTAACAATAACCCTTTTATTTGTTTTGATTCCTTTCTATTTTAAATCAATAAGTTTTGATAATGATAGACAAAAAGTAAAAAAGCAAACACATTCTATATTTAATACTCTTTCATTTATTTTTTTAACTATTTGGTTTTAATGCTGATTTAATAAAAATAAGACTCATTTATAATATTATTTATTAAATCATTTTTTATCTCATGTTATTCTTTTTTCCCATAACTCACAAATACTCTAACAAAAATAAAGTTTTAATTTTAAAAATGAACAAATCATTTACTTTATATTAATATTTTTACATAAATCCTTATTAAAAATGTTTTAAATATGTCAAAACAATAAAATTGTATTAAATGATTATTTTTTTTATCAATTGTATGGTTATAACTTTAAATAAATAGTTTACATAAGTAAATTTTCATATTATTAGAGAAACAAATCAGTTAATAAATGAAATATATGAATAAGAAATAATAAAAGTGATGATATATTAAAGACATTATAAACAACATAAAGATATTTAATACCAACTATAAATGATAAATTTTTGGTTCAATGCTAAAATTAAAATAACTTAATAAATAATAATTTAATTGTACTGTAAATAACTAAATAATAATCTATTTTTAAGAAAAAATCAAAAACTTCTCATAAAGAGGAAATTTTATATCCCTATTTTTTTCACTTTTAGATTAAATTAGAAGAATACTTCATGTCTATAAAAAATAAATTAACAAATTAATTACATGAACAATATATCATTCAATCCAAATGACTTCTTTATATCAGATAATTTACTATTGTTTTGGTTAATAGTTACTCGTTTATCATTTATAATATTACTAAATAAAAAAGAATTTACAGCTTTTCCAAGTTCCATCATTTTTGTTTGATTCATTAAATATGTATCTTTATAATATATACGAGTAATTCTCTCCATTTGATGTGATTTTTTTGATTTTCTAGATGGTTTTGATTCAAACCAAAACCCATATTCTAGACAAAGATCGAATAGAAAGTTCTGTGTAAATATTCTCTTATTCTTTTCATACCTTCTTGTTGAGGTAGTTTGACTAACTCCTCCTGCAACCTCTTTCTTCATAATTAATTGACTTTGAGTATCTGCAAGTTTTGCAACTTCTATTTCTTGTTTATCTATATAAAGATTAACTAAACGTGGCATAGTAACTGTAACTTTTGATTGTTTTCCTGGATGTTCTACTGAAAAAGAACACTTAGAATTCATTAAACAGAGTAATGCTGCTTGTTGGTAACTTTCAAGGTTCTTCATTTCTCTCTTTTTAAGAGTATATTTTGCTTCATCCTTTTTAAACTTTTTTCTTTCAGACCCATGAGACTTCTGGCAATTTGTTGATTTTTCATCTTGAGATATACTAAAATCATTTTTTGAAGATTGAATCTGAATTGAGTCCATGAATGAATAAGCAAATGAGGTCAGATCTATGACTCAGGGTTTATATTATAACGCCATGAATGTAATATTTATCTCAACCAGATACTATATATATCCAAAGTATTTTTTGTTTAGAACATTTCAAAAGAACCAAGTGGAATATTCAATGATTTATTCTTTCATTATTTTTAAATAAAAAAGAATCAACATTATCTTTCGAACCAGTGTTTTATTTTATGGTTTTTTCTATATCTTTTGTTATTTTGTTTTTTTTAGACTTTCTTTTTGCTTATTCATACCGATATTTACGTTTTATTTTTAAAACTAATGTTTTTGAAAAATACAAGACATGAATTTAATGCAATTTTCAGTAAAAATAAAAATAATACAACTTTAGATTTTAATTTAAAGTAATTCTAATTCTAAATAACATATAACCCCTAAAATAAATAGAACTTTCTTTATTATTTTCTCATCTCTAATAAATTTTGTGAACCATTTTTCTTTCCAGTAAAATTCTTGGTTAACATTATTTAATTATTTGAAGTATTTTTTTTTTACGAAAAACCAAAATTCTTGTTTCTCTATGTTATAAATAATCTTAAATTTCCTTTAATTTTTTCCTAGTTGTTGAATAATTTCTCAAAAAAAAAAATGGATATTACTCCTCTTATTCTCTATCTTACAAGTAACTAAATAATTAATTATACATAAATAATTAGATATTCTTCATTCTTTACTTCATTCATACCTCGGTTTGTATTTCTTTTATTTTTATGAAATTTACAATAAAAATTAAACAATTTTATTCATAACTATTTAAATTAAACTTCGCTATTAAAAAAATCAGTCTTATACTAAAATCTTGAAACATTCATTTCTCAAGCGAAGCTTTGAGGTAAATAAAAGAATTTAGTTTAAAAGAAAAAATAAAAGTTAATCATTGAAAGGTTAAAGTAGTTGTTTTACAATTTTTTATGATTGTAGAGATACAAACTATTTTTTCAATTACTTTGAAAAGTTGATAAAAATTATATTATATTTTTTTATAACAATCAATAAGTCTTTTAGTCTATGTACTAAATAGATTTTATATATGATATTAGTCTTTGTCAATACACAAAATTAATTTTGTCCTCTTATTTATATTTATTCATAAACTATAAATCAATATTATAAATCCTATTATTTTATTTTATATTTAAATAACAAAATTATTTATAATTCCATTACTATGAAATGAAAATCAAAAATAATAGAAAATAGTATAAATCATAATACTTTAATTTTAGAATCAAATAGAACATATTCACTTTTTAAGATGAAAATTTTCAGATGCAGGCTATCAAAGAGGGTATATTAAAGGTTATTTCTATTGGATTAAAACCTGAAGAATTTTTTGAAGCAAAATATCAAAAGATTGTATATTCTGTTGGTAGGTTTTATGATATGATTAAAAACCAAGCATTTGAATTAAATGCTAAAGGCAATGAAAGAGTCACAGGATATACTAACCTTCTTATTGTAGGTGTTTGTATTTTTTCATTAATAATATTGTCACATAAGAAAGCATGTGGAGTTTATCAATCAATGAATAAATTTTGGATGATTATTTTTAATTTTGCTTTATCTCTAGGGGCGTTTTTCGGTTTTATTGTTCATGCATTTGCTATTCCTTCAGATATTCTTGAAGGGCTTTGGTATTGCCTTTATACATTTTTAATTATAGCATTGATGTTAAGATTTTTCCAAGTATTTTGGGAATGTAGTGTAACTGTATTTTTGTTAATGTTACCACAGTTAATAGTTTTTGGTTATTTTGATATTATTGCATGTTGGTATTATGACAAATTCCTTTTTATTGGGGTTTATGTTCTCTTTTTTGGATTGTTTATGGGATTCATACATTTCGTTCATATCTGTACTCGTAGTGGTAAATATATTCTTTATTCTTTTAGTGATTTAATTGGACTTATATCTGTTATAGTTCAAATAACTTCTATTAGATATGGAAATTGGGATAAAAATGGGTTTTTCCATCTTGGAGTTTCCTTTTATGTATTAGTGAATACAATTTCATTTAGTACAATCTCTTTATCATCATCAAAAAAAGGAAAAACGAAATTAGATTGAAGAGGTTAATGGCTGATTCAATTATTTTAGTTATTAATTATTTATTTTGATAAGAAATATTTAATTAAAGAAAAAAAAAAAAACATTAACAATACAATTAATTAATTTTCTTAGTATAAATCAATAAACAATTTTTGAGGTACCAAAAATAAATCTTGTTTCTATGATTTTTTTAAAATAATAGTTTCAGATGCAAAAAATTGGTGAAGGTATCTTAACTGTACTTAAACTTTCTATTAATCCCTTTAAATTTATAGGAACAAAGTGTAAAAAAATTCATTTTGCATTTAAAGGGTTTTTTGATCTAATTGAAAATCATCAAATTGAATTAAATTATAGTCCAAATGAACGAGTGACTGGATTTACTAATCTTCTCATTGCATGTCTTTGTATTCTTTCTTTTATAGTAGTAATATTTTCAAAAACACGTGGTTCACATAATTTAATTAATAAAATATGGATGATGTGTTTTGATATAACACTTTCTATTGGAGCGACATTAGGATTTATTGTTCATGGATTAAAAATACCAGGTGGAATTATTGGAGGACTTTGGTATTGTCTTTATCTTTTTTTATTAGTAGCTTTAATGTTTAGATTTTTTCAAGCATTTTGGGATTGTAATAAAAAGACATGTCTTTGGATGACTCCTTTTTTAATTATTTTAGCTTATATTCATCTTATTGCTTGTTGGAAATATGATACATTTCTTTATATTGGATCATATGCTATTCTCTTTGGTTTTATTATGGGAATTACTCAACTTGTTTTTATATTTACTCGTAATTCAGGATATGTTCTTCATCTTATTGCTGATTTTGTAGCACTTGGAGCTTTTATATTTGAAGCTACTAATTTTCGGTTTGAAGATTGGGACCAAAATGGGTTTTTCCATTTAGGAATTTGTCTTTATGTGTTAATGAGTACATTTGCATTTGTTGCTTCACTTCCACCAATTGTTGATCGTAAAGAAAGGGAATTAGAACTTAAAGAAATTAAAGGGATAGAAGATTCATTTGAATATCAAAAACTTCCAGAAAGTGTTGATACAGTTAATTAATTTTATTTTCAATTCTTTTTGAAGGAATAGAAGTTATCTGACTTATCCTTTGGTTTGGTCCAAATTTAATAAATATTGGGTGCCAATATATTAAAATAAAGTCATAAAATATCAATAAAGGAACTTTCATTCTTTGAATAAATAACAAAATAATCCACGTCTTTACAAATGGCAATGACTGGTATCTTTTTAACAAATCAAGTCACAAAAAATCAAATTCGATGAAGTACTTCAACCCTTTCAATCTTTAAATTTGTTCATTTTCAAAACAACTAATAATGCAAGCTACGGGAAAACCACATTCAAAAACTTCTAAGTCTAAAAAATCTGGTTCAAAAGCTAATAAAAAACCAGCAACTTCAAGTGTTAAACCAAATACACCAGCTGCACCAGTTGATCCATCAGTAATTCCACCTGAAATTAAAGAACCAACTGAAACTTTATCTACTATGTATAAAGATGAAAAATGTTTCCCAGAAGGAGAAAATATGCAATATACACAAGAATGGAACTTACAAAGATTCACAAGTGCTGAAGCTAGAGAACGTGAAAGAGCATTAATTGATATTGAAGATTATAGAAAAGCTGCAGCAATTCATAAAAGTGTTAGACAATGGGCTCAACAATGGATTAAACCAGGAATGTCAGATCTTTTTGTTGCAGAAAATATTGAGAGAAAAGTTAGAGAAGAATGTGAAGTTGATGGAGTAAATACTACAGAACGAGGTATGGCTTTTCCTTGTGGTCTTTCTGTAAATTCATGTGCAGCACATTTCACACCAAATCCAAATGATCCATTATCATTCTATAAAACTGATGATGTTGTTAAAATTGATTTTGGAGTACATGTTAATGGTCATTTAATTGATTCAGCTTTTACCATGACTTGGGATCCTGCTTTACAACCAATTCTTGATTGCTCTAAAGATGCTACTAATACAGGTATTAAAAATATTGGTGTTGATGTTAGATTATGTGATATAGGTGATGCTATTGAAGAAGTTATGAGCAGTTATGAAGTTGAAATTAAAGGAAAAACTTATCAATTACAACCAGTTAGAAACCTTTCTGGACATATGGTTGGTTCATATGCTGTTCATGCTGGTAAATCTATTCCAATTTGTAAAGGTGGACCTCAAACTAAAATGGAAGAAGGTGAAGTTTATGCTCTTGAAACATTTGCTACTACTGGCAGAGGACGTGTTGATGACTCAGGACCTGCTTCTCATTATATGGTTGATGCTAATGCATTTGATTATCCAGTTAGAGATGGAAATGCAAAGAGATTACTTCATGCTCTTGACGCTAATTTCAAGACATTAGCTTTTTGTAGAAGATATGTTGACAAAATTGGATTTGCTAAATGGCAAATGCCATTTAAATTCCTTGTTGATGATGGATGTGTTAATGCATATCCACCATTATCAGATTGTCACGGAAGTTATGTTGCACAATTTGAGCATACCATTTATCTTAAGCCAACTTGTAAGGAAGTTCTTTCAAGAAGTTTTGATTATTAAATTCATTTTGGCTTTGTTATATTTGATATTCTTTCTTTTTTGAATTTTAAAATAATATTTTCATTATAACGGTCTTTTGTTAATTTGTAAGTATAAAGAAATATTGTTTTATTATGATTAATTTATAAATTAAAATATAGTTAAAATGAAAAAAAATTAGGTTTATAGAAAAAGAACTATTAGAAAGTTAAAAAGAAAAGAAATAAAAAAACCTAGTATTTCTTATAAACCCCCAGATCTAATCAAATCAGTTGTCAACGTCCATGGCTAGCAACAAAAAGATTGAACTCTATATCCCAAGACACTGGTTTGTTTATAAGTTATAACCTTGTTTATTAAAATAATAAGAGTATTAACTTTATAGTTCCGTTACTCATACTTTGATCGCTGCCGATGATCATGCTGCTGTTCAAATTTTAGTTCCACACGTTAATGAAAATGGTGTTATTTTACCAGAATCAACTGTTTACACTGTTAAAGGAAGTGTCAGAAAGGATGGTATTTCTGATCATTCACTTAATAGACAATTCCAAAAGGACGGATTCCTTAAGACCGTTGTTCCAAAGAACATGATGATCTAATTGACGTTGTCTGATTTTTTTTATGACTTAATTACTTGTTCTTTTTTATTGTTTTTTTATTTATGTTTTTTAAAAACAAAATATAAAATGTTATTGATAATTTGTATTTGGTTTATTTATTATGTATTATTCTTGAGGTTGAAGGTGGTAGATATGAAACGCTACATAAACATTAATACAAATTCAAACTTCGACTCTCATACTTATTATCTGGTTATGACGTTGGATTTGAATTAGAAATGTATTAGTTAATGCTACAAATGGTGTAACAATTTATTTTGGTTGAATATTACTTATTGTACTATAAGAAATAGTATTTATAAATAAAGAAATTAAGAAATAGATATTATCCAAGGAAAAGGATTTGCTAAGATGTGGTTAATACGAAAAGAAAATTAATCATAATAATATAGTGGTAATGAAATGTTTTCTTCTCTCTTTCATAAATTAAATTAAAATAAAGAAAATGAAATTATTTAAAATTTAAATAAAAATCAAGCAATAAGATAAAAAAACAAAATAAACAGATGAAGTTTGAGAAAAATTTAATAGAAAGAAATAAAATAAAGGAGTGTTTTTTTTAATTTTCCAAGAAAAATTTAAAGAATAAATTAAACAAAGAAACTAAAACTACCCTTTAAAAAAAAGCAAAAAGATAGTATTAGACTCCCCTAAACTAGGAAGAATAGATGAAAATTCTATTAATACATAAATAATTAATTATTATTTATTTAGTTAAAATTTTGTTATTTTGAATTTGTATATTTAAAATTTTGTTCTATATATTGTATGAAGGAATTTACTCTGTTTAGTTTTATAAATATCAAAAAAATTTGAATAGATAAAAGAAATAAATAGTTTTTGAATAAAAATAATGTAAAAGAAAAATACTTTTGGAAATAGTATCCTTTATGATTTTATCATTAGTACTTTTTTTAAATGAATATTTTTATTCTGTAGATCTAGAACGCAACTGGAAAAGTCAAAAAAAAAGAATAGCAGTAAAATACGAAATTATAAACTGAAGAAAAATCCATAGAAAAATCGTTACCATCTGAGAATAGGAATTAAATTTTTCATTAAAATTTTTTTGTGGCTACCACATCATCATATTTTTAGAAAAAAAAATTTTATGTGTTATAATTATGTTTATAATGCCACTTACTTTTTTATTTTCTTTCAAATGGTTTAACGAAGTCATTCTTTTTTAAAAAAAACTAACTTACTAGATTGAATAAAATAAATCTAATTTCAAGAAAAGGAAATGATAAAAAAGAAAAAGACAAAGAATGTTATAGAAGTTTTGAATAAAGGAGTCATACTAAAAATATCACATCTCAGAATTACTTTTTTTTACAGATGGAACTATAAATTCATTTATCGGAAAAATTACTCTTTATTTCATCGAATGAATCCATCATGTCAATTTTTTGTTCCTATTGTAGTACGTCCATCTGCTAATTATTCTTTTTCGTTTGTTTTTTGATTAATAAAAAGAAATAGAGTAGTAAAAGTACTTATTTTTTAGAGCCTCTACTGGCAATTCTCCTTCTGAACATCTTATTGATGAAGAAAGTCTTCCAGTTCCTCCTCGTTCAACACAGCCAGTACCATTTGATTCAGTTAATTCATGTTATTGTGATAATTGTATATTTGAAAGTAATGAAAGTGAAGAAGAATATCTTGATGATAGTTTATTTGATTCAGTTTTTTAATACTTTAATTATTGTATAATTGACTTGTTAATTGCACATTTTAAAGAATTTTCTTCACTAAAAATATATTTTTTAAAGTCCATTTCGGTAGTATCGCATTTTTTGTTTAGTGATATTGTTTCTTCTTATATTATTTTTAATTTTGAATAAGAAACAGTTGATTCAAAGAAAAATAAATGACTTTCAATTTATCGTATTTCTTATTGTTTATTCATTTTAATTAAATAAATAAAAATATATAAAAAATATTAACTTTTTCAAGGAAGGATTAATAAAAATAAGTATTTATCAAAAAAAATACGTTTGATAGAGGTTATTTATTTCAAAAAACTCTTCTAGTGAGTATAGAGTATGTGGGTCATAATCTGTTCATATAGCCAATATATAAATTATAAGGAATTAATAAAAGTATCAAATAAAAAATAAACATCATAATGTTTGGTTAATATTAAAGTGTTATGTAATTTGGATAAAAGAAAATGGAAGTTAAAAGGTTCCAATGAAATATAGAATGAGTTTTCATTTCATTTCAATTTCATTTACAACAATATTCAATAATAGTATTTGATAGTATTGAATCGTTTCTTATTTTTACTGATAATGAAGAAATATTTGAAGAATGATGAAGAAGTAAATATGTAATATCATTCAGTAAATTTAAAAGAGAGAGAAAAGTAAAATAATGTAATATATATAAAATATAATAAAATGTTGAAATACACTACTATTACATGTGAAATCAATAGGATTAGTCATGTTTTTAATAAATATTTTTCATTAACATCAATTCATATTCCATCATCAACACTTCATTTTGAAACAGACGTTTCATTGAATGAGAAGAAGAATTAAAGAAGAATAAAAAGCATCAAGAAATTGTTTTATGAATATTAAAGAAGTGAATAAAGAAATAAAATACAATTTATTTTAAAATATAAATTAAGAAAATCAATAACAATTGAATATAATTATCATATTTAAAGATAATTAAAGGATGGTATTGATTATCAAATTTATATTCTTTGATACTATTATTTTTTAATTATAAATTAAAGTTATGCTTTTAAATGAATTGAGAAAATAATAAGTAGGAAATAATGAAATATTTATATATAACATCAATAAATATATTTGAATTATTCAAGAAATAGTTATTTTGATAACATTATAATTATATTTCATTATAAAATATCAATTTAATTTTATTTCTAATAAAATATTAATTTATTTAAATATTCTTATTTGGTATTTTATTAATTTGCCATTGATTCTTTACAATCTTTATTTCACATCTTCACTTTTTTATCTGCTCATTATTTATTTATCATTCCCTTTCTCTTTTTCTATTCTTTCCACTTTATTAATTATTTTATTCTTATTCTATTTTAATAATGTACTTATTATTTTTATGTCCATTCAATTCATATGAGTTA